TCACCAAGCTAGCTGTGTCTGAGCTGAGAGTCAAATGTAGGTCTACCTGGCTGCCCGACATGAGCTCTTTCTGCCGCTCCATGCACTCTGGGGCTCTTTTCCTGTGCCACACTGCCTCTTTTTCTTGTGTGGTTAGTTTAACCATCTAAAAGTGTTCTTTTCTTCACATGTTGGGCAGCCCAGCCCCAGAAGGACTGCTGTCTTCTGTTCATGTTGCCTGCATGCCAGATGCTCTCCCCGCCCCCATCAGCCAGAAGTTTGTGTGTTTGCCTCTGCCTCCTCAGAGGCACTAGAATTTGTCTCTGTTCTGTTTGTAATGCATACAGGACTGGGCTATTAATCATGCAACAGGCCAGGCTGCATAGCACCTCTGGAATAATGAATTGCTGAGCTCCTGCCAAAATGAGTCACACCATGGCCACTAAGGAAACTTATCTCTCCCTGACTCTCCTCATCTTGTTCCTCCCCCTTCTTTTTCTCGTCTCCTGTGATCTGTCTTGCCAGTTGTAATTGGAACATTTTCTCCTGTATTTAAGTTCTGAAGTGTCTTTGGGACTTGCTAATGCGGCCAAAGGCTTAAACAAGGCCTGTCAAGGACGTTTATTGCTCTCTAGCATGGGCAGTTAAGCATAGCTTACAAGCAGCTCTGGGTATATATGGCCAGGAATATAAATGTACCTTTTGGAAAACAAGAGAACCCCAGAAAAAAAAAATGATCCTAGGGATGCTTCAATGAGGTCTTAAAGAAGAAACAATTTCTGGCCTAATCTTATGACAGAGGATGCACAGGAGTGGGGATGGTGTGACCTTTGGTTTGAAGGAGTTGATTGGGGGGTTTGGGGAGAGCTGCCTGAGAGGGGATCTGAGGTGCTGTGAACTGAATAAAGGAAACATCTCTCTTCACTGACCCTTCCTGCTTCCTATGGGGTAAATCCAGGAATCACCTAACAATTGTGACCTCTCCATTTCCCTACTGTCAAAATATGCTTATGCTTCCTCAAATTTTTGCCACAGACATATCAGTAAGGAATGCTTTTGGCTGTACTTAAGTTTTTTACGTCATCAAGAGTCCAGGGGGAAGCAGTTCAAGGTTGGTATAGTGCTTATTGATGTCTTTAAAACCCAGGCTCCTACCTTTCTGCCCTGCCATCATTAATTTGTTGACTTATTGCCTCATGTTTGCAAGATGGATGCTATAGCTCCAGATATCATGTTTTTATTCAAGGCATTAAGAAATAGGGAAGAGTTATCAAGACACCAGCTGTACTTGAAACTTATTTCAGGAAAATCAAAAGCTTTCTTAGAGGCTCCCAGAAGATGTTTGCCTATGTCTCATTGACCACAACTATGTCACATTCTTAATTGTCATCCTTAGCTATAGGAAGGTCTAGACAAACAAGTTTAGCTTTCCTATAATCTGAAATGGAGGCAGCAAGGGAAATGGGGTTGAAAATGTCTGTTGGGTTAGCCAACAAACAGTATCTGCCACAATCAAATAGAAGGAAATCATAGAAGACTAAATTGGGCAGGCTAAGGCAGTCTCACCTAATTGTAGAGGAGAAGGAAATTAATATTCTTAAGCATGCTCTGTGCTATATTTTGTGCTAGGCAGCATGCTGCATATCTATATATACATGTCACAGTTACTTCCATTGTATATTGGAGAAAGCTAAGCTCTGAGCAGTATTCTGCCTATAGTTAATTTAGGAGTCTGGATTTGAATCCCTGTCTGTCTGACTTATAAAACAATTCATGTTGCCTCTAGGAAGTTGAAGCCAATTTCTTAGCATTGGTTTTTGGAGTGCCTTACTGAGTTACATGTAGACAAAGTAGGAATCTATCTGAAAGAATTATTTTATGGGCCCAAGATAAGTTTTTTTTTTGTTTTTTGTTTTTTTTTTAAAGAGAGTAGTTAGGTCTTTCTGTTGTGATGACAGTTCAAAGAGAACTGGCCTAGGAGGTGGGACACCCAGCTCTGTTGAAAACCTGGTGCTGAGTTGCTCTGTGACTTTGGGTAAGTCATTTCTCCTCATCTATAAATGAAATGTTGGAATAGATAGTCTACCAAGAATCTAATAGCTTCAGGACACTTAGGTTCTGCTCCAGTCTCTCATGCATCTTTCATTTGTTCATTCATTCAAGAAATATTGATTAACAATGCTAGGCACTGTTCTAGGTACTTGGAATATACCAGTCAACAAAACAAAGTTGCCTGTCCTCGTGGAACTCATGTTCTAGTGTGTGTAAATTGGTGGCAGGAGGTGCAAACAATGAACAAAACATAATAAATTAGTGATAAGTAAATTACACAGTTGTTAGAAGGGGATCAGTTCTCTGGGGGACAAAAGTGGGAAGTGGGGAAGAGGACTGGCAGTGCTCAGGGAGAGGTTCAGTGGTCTTCACTAAGAACAAGGCATCTGAACAAAGACTTTATGGAGGGGAGGGAGTCAGCCTTCACATATTTGAGGTTGGTGCTGCAGGCAGAGGGCGTAAGTAGAGCAAAGACCCAAAGGCAGAAGTTGGCCTGAGCTTTCTGAGAATTTTCTGGAGCCCTTTTTACTCCACAGTCATCATTTCCTTTCACATGCATTGGTTTTCAAACCAGCTCAAGCTTCCTAGACTTGAAGGCCATTTAAATTTGACCCAGGTGTAGCAGGTAGGGACGTAGAACCAGGCTGCCGCCTTCATATTTCCATCTCATTTCACACCACAGAAACACTCGATTCCTAGGGATGTTGAGGAAATCGTGGTAGAACTGCCAAGGTCTGGAGATACTGGAATCCTACCACAAAAATACAACACACCATTTCCAGACTATTCTTACTGCGCTTCCTGTTTAATGCCTACTGCACAGTGAGTGACTCAGTGTTTTCATCCTGTTCCCAAATGATCGTCTGTGTCACTCAACTATAAAACCTCAGGTACGAGAGAGCTGTGTTTTTATTTTTATCAGTTACTGCTCCTGAGCCAACCTGTGGTAGGTGGACTGAGCCTTCCCCATTAGATTCAGAGGATTCTCACTGAGCAAGGCCAGGAGTCTGCAGGAAGACGGGTTGCTAGGCTGTGCAACCCGTGTGTGTGTATGTGTGTGTGTGTGATAACTTTAAATACATCTTGAAATATTACAAAGAGAAGGGACAAGAGTTGCCTTCCTGAGTTGTGTTTCATGCAGAGAAGTTACTTGGAGTCTGAAGACAGGGGTATTATGCAGATGTGTTGTTATCTTCAGTTGAGCTGAGAACTTGTAACATTTATGTGAACAGGTTGATGGGCTCATGAACTGGGCTTAGTCTGGGATTAGCGTGGGCCCCGACCACCTACTCTAAGGTAGTTTGCACTTAGGCAAGAGGCTAGACCCCCTGGAAAGCTCCTTCCAAATTGTACGAGTCTCTGTCCAAATACTGAACAGGCCTGGGTGTCACTCGCAGGATTTTGAGAAGTTTAGTTCTAGGAGGTGGCTCAGCATGGATTTCATAGTTATCTTGCAGATACATCTCTTTTTCATGTGACCTTGACATTTGTTTGATGTGAATAGCAAGGAAACAACTCAGGTCTCTGTAATCTGAGTGAGGTTGCAGGTAAGAATTTGGAATAACATACAAAATGCAGGATATATTTAAAATGAAAGGAGGATAAGAGTCTTCATCAGAATCTTGTACAATTGAACCAAATTTCACGTTGTGATTTCTTACTAATCTACTGGGAAGCTGAAGAAGCAAGTATCTTTTTGCCTTTCCTAACCTGGTTTTCCCCATCTCAAGTCGCTCTCTCCTATGCAATATTTAGAGACTACTAAGCCATAGACAGAGAGCAGGGAGAAACATATCGTTAGAGATTGCACCGGTTGAGGTTGAGGTGCTAGCCTGGAAAATTCTGATAAGAGCATCAAAGTCAGTCTAAGTATAAGAATATAAGGTTACAGGATCTCTATTCACATTTTAGTCTACTTACAAGAAAGAAGATATTGTTCATTCAGTCCAAAACTGTATCATGTACCTACTACTGTGCCCGGCTCTTTTCCAAGCACTAGCAATACCTCAGTAAATACTACCATCCAAAAGTTTCCCTGTCCTCATTTCATTTGGTTAAACCACATAAAATGCCATTTTTCTAGGTTAAAGACGGTTGTCTATAAATAGGCATCTACTACACGAGCCAGCCATTCCACTCATAGGTATTTACTTAGAAAGGCATGCATTCATACAAAGACTTGTACATGTATGTTTGTAGCAGCTTTATGTGTAATAGCCCAGGTGGAAGCCATCCAAATGTCCATCAAGTGAATGGATAAACAAACTAGTATATAATGGGACACTATTCAGCAATAAAAAGCAATGAAGTACTGATACACGCTACAATATGGATGAACTCTACATGCATTATGCTAAGTTAAAGAAACCAGATGACTTCATTTACATAAAACTTTTGAAGATGCAGACTAATCCATAGTGATAGAAAACAGATCAGTGGTTGCCTTGGAACAGGAGCTGGGATTGGGGACAAGAAGGACAGGCGGGAGAGACTACAGTGGGGCAAGCGAGATATTTTGGGGGTAATGGATGTGTTTACTGTCTTGATTGTTAATGATGGTTTCACAGGTGTATACTCATGTCACACGTTTTCAACTGTGCACTTTAAACATGCAAAGTTAATTATATGACAATTATACCTCGATAACTGTGAAAAACGGTTGAATAGCAGCAATGGTTCAAACAGTAGATAAATTTTTGTGATGAATTAATTTTTAAAACTTTATAGTCATTTTTCATACATTTTTTAAAAAACTCACCGCATACATGTCAGGCACCGTGAAAGGTACTGTCAGTGAAAGTGAACGAGGCTGTTTCTGCTTTAAAGCTCAGTGGGCAAAATAGGTTTGTAAAGAGAGAACTGAATGAGTGGCTTTCCTGCAGGCAGTTCTGAAGCAATTACCAGGTCTAACCGACTTGTCCTTTGTTGACTGCATTTATGCATGTGTGTGTGCCTTCCCTCTTTTTCAGAGTGACTTGTGGTCTTTGGGAATCACTGCTATCGAGATGGCAGAAGGCGCTCCCCGTAAGTACCTTCCTCTGGGTGACATCTGTTGCTGGTCTGCTCTGCGGGTGCTGAAGCTTGTTTGCCAGGAGTTGCAGTAGCTTTGCTTCTGCTACACTGAGCCCTGCATGGATTCAAGCTGCATATTTAGAAAGCAGAGTCATCTTAGATCAACCAGGAATCCATTCATTTCAGAGTGGTGTGAGGATCTTGTATTTATGAGGAGGGAAAAAAAAAAGAAAAAGAAAGCAAACTTTAGGGAGTCTTGTTTGTTTTACTGATTTAGTGTGTAATTTATTCCCAAACTATTCTTCACTTAACATAAAAGTAGGACCAACCCACAAAGACAGTAAATTCTAACTTAATAAAAATTCAAAGTTGATTTTCAGGGCGTAGGTTATACAAACATTTGTACTCAACTGCTTTCACTCCTGTTAAAATACTGATGTTTAGATTTTTAGGTTTTCCTACTTATTTCAGACAGAGTGGCCAGGGCTCTGGCTATCTGGAGAACTCCTCAAATTCTTTGAGCGTGGAATATTGACACTGCAGAGTGCTTCTGCCAGCCCTGTGGTGGCCATGAGCATGTGCCTCGCAGATTTCCATGCAGGAAGCGCAGCTGACCAAGGGCCTAGCTGCAGCGATGGCACTGAGGTTGCACCTCCCAAGGGCCACTCCCCTTCAGAGACCGAGCATGGCAGGGATATGAGGTGGACCCTGTCCTAGAATGCAGGGTTCCTTTATAGGCACCGTTCACTCCTCAGGTTCACTCTTCAGTTTCTTTAGACTGCAGGAGAGGCTAGCACACTTCCACCTACTCATTCTCCCTCCCGCCTTCGCTCCAGTCAGACGTGTGCAGCACTCCGATGACTCTCCCAGCCTTCCCTGGCTTCCCCCACTATTCCTATGAGGCAGGAGTTTCCCCTTCTTGTATTTAATACCACCTTGGTATCTGCTTTTCAGAAACCCCTTATTTGTATGACAAGTCGTTAAGCTCAGATGACTTTTTACCTTCAAGTCATCAGTTTTCTTATTTCTCACTCTAGAGTTGACAGAATTTGTCTGTAGAATGACTGATTTGGAGTCTTTGTTGACAAAATTCCCCTCATCCACAATGCTAATAGGCATTTGTGAATTATAAAAATAATATATTGCAGTCTTAAAACTGTATTATTCTTGATGAGTCGTCGAGGGGGCTAAAAATAAGCCTTTACCCACAGAATTTTTTAGCTTTTAGGGAAAATATATTCTTATTTTAGGCACAAAGGAAAAGGTACTCCCAGATGTTTGAAAAGTAAACTAGTGAAATATTTCGATTAAAAGAAGAATGTTTGAGTGCTTTTACTATAAATGATAATGTTGTATTTACAAGTTGAGATATTTGTATAACTTTCCTGCCAGATTTCATTTGCCTTAATCCTCTGGTCTTCCTGGGGCCAGGAAACAAATCAAAACAAAAATACCTATCATGGAACCTGAAAACCCATTTAGGATATTTGGAAATATATAGAGAAAAACAGAGAGAGGTATCTGGTCTAGTCCTTTGTACTCCAAAAATCTATGTGAATAAGATTGCATTTGTATGAGCCTTCAGTGTATAAGAAATAGACCATAGATGATCAAATATCTTTTTTTTGATGACTTAGGCTTTTACTAATTAACTTTGTTTCCTTAAATATGAAGCAAACGTAAAAGTGTCAACAATATCTAGCTGACACTTGTTTTATTTCATGAGACTGCCATAATAGGACATCAGATGGAAGCTTTGCGATCTTCTGACTGACTCCACTCGCTTGTCATGGGTGAACTCGGAGAGCCGTTTGGCAGCATCGGCGGCACAGCTAGGATGGGCTTGGCATGGGTTTGGCTTTCTGACTGGAGCTGGCCTTTGTTTTGGTGTTTTGCAGCTCTCTGTGACATGCACCCAATGAGAGCCCTCTTCCTCATCCCCCGGAACCCAGCACCCCGGCTGAAGTCTAAGAAGTGGTGAGTTTGCTCTTCAGTGTTTCACAGGTTCAAAGGCAGGGTTTTCCCTTGATTCTTTTTTGGATTAACTCAAATACTTAGGTCCTGCTGACAGGATTGGACTGCATACACTAAGACTTGGTGAGCTATTTTCCATATGTGTCATTCATCTTAAAATACACATTGAGTACTGTAATCGCCCCCTCTTATCTGTAGTTTCACTTTCTGCAGTTTCAGTCACCCATGGTCAACTGCTATCCACAAATATTAAATTTCCCCAACCATCGACATCATCATGGCTCGATGATCCAGGATCATTCAAAGCAGCTGATCCACCTTCTGACATACTGTCAGGTCAGGAGCAGCCCAAGGCTACATCATAGTGCCCACATCATTCACTTAGGCGTTGTATCATCTCGCATCATCACAAGAAGAGTGCCTAGTGTTTTGTTTGACCAGCCACATGCCATGTTTCCAAAATATTTGTATTCATTCTAACTTTTAAAGATCGTGTGATTGAGCATAACATTTAGATGTCTGGCCTTTTGTGCAAAGGTGCTACACGCTACTCCCTTTTAGGGTAAGAGATTGTCCTCCTGCCCCAGTCTCAAAATGTTCTTTTAAGAGAGAGTGACTACATTCACATAACTTTTAGTACAGTATATCGTTGTAATGGTTTATTATTATTGTTAATCTTTTACTGTGCCTAATTAATAAATGAAACTTTACCATAGGTACGTATATATATGGGAAAGAACATAGTGTATATAGGGTTCTGTCCTATCTGCGGTTTCAGGCATCCACTGGGGGTCTTGGAATATACCCCCTGTGGATAAAGGGAGACGACTGTGTTTGCCCAGCAGAACTTTATCCCCACACCTTCAAGGTAAGGAGCTATTAGCTAAAACGGGTAGTGGAACCCAAGTAATAACATGGAAGCTCTTTAATTTATAACCCCAAATAATATTTTTTTTCTGGCAGCACAGAACATCTCATCGGAGATGGCGATAGTTCAGAGAGTCAGCCCATTAGATTGGCTGACTTTTCTTCTGTTTCTTAAAACAATAATTCTCTAAGTGCATACACACCTGGTAGTATGTGAGATGATTTCACAGGTCTGTGCATGAACATTTGTAATTTTGGAGTTTTCTATTGCTATCTCTTTAGGGTAGGTGATACTGGTCTCTTATTTGGGGTAGTGATATAACCTTCCCATTTAATAAACTTTTTCACGTAAAAAAGTGACTTAATTTAAAGAAAAATGCTAAATGAATACTAGCATGAGTGGTGTAAGGGAATGGAGAAAATTGTGTCAGTAGTGTATGATTGTCTGAAGTTTGGGAAACAGAGTTCTACAGGTTAGGCCAGAAGTTGGACTTCTGACATTTTTGTGTTCTTGTATCAGGGTCTTTGCTCCTTATAATAAAAAAAATCATTGCTCCCTCCATTACCCCTGTGGATATGGTGTACGCTTCTTGATACATTCTTGAACCTCTGATTCCCCTTATATGGGGGCTAATTCCTGGACCACCTGTAACCTCCTATTCTTTTCCAGAGACATACAGTTACAGCATGAAAGAACAAGACTCCTCTGCCCTTAATGATCAGGTCCTTGACTGGGGCCCCTCCTATTTCTCACCCCCTACCCACTGCTTCACCCTCCACCATACAGAGAGCAGTCTTGATTAATACCAGTCATCTAGGAATGGCATAGCAACCCTGGTGAAACAAGAGAAAGCCACACTGCACCGAGAGAGGGGAGGAGACGGCCAGAAGCGACGGCAGCCTTGGAGTTGCCAAGGCCTGCACAAGGAGAGACTGAGAGTTGCTATTGGTAACAAGAGGCAGAGCATTCCCCACTCCTCTTTCTCTCTCTGGAGGGTCACAGTTGTGCGAGACGATTATTTTCTCCCCAGCAACAGCCTTCCATTGGGCACCAGCACAGCCTGTGATCGCTGGGCGCCCAGAGGCCCTGCTTCCTCCTTTCTCCCTGGAACAGACTCCTGGGGAGAGGAGTCAGCTCAGTTCTGGAAGTGTCAGTGGCACTACAAAGCACTCTGCTAGGTTTCTGCTTGTTCTTCATGCCAAGTCACTCCCCGTGGAGCCTACTGTAGACAGTGGGCTTCTCTTACCCTGTGGCCTTCTTCTGTCCCTGCACTGCTGCTGGACAGATGTTTCCACTTTCTCACAGAGGACAAATGGTCCATTTACATGTATGTTTTGTTTGACCAACCACACGCCATGTTTCAGAAATATTTGTATTCGCTGACAACTTTTAAAAATCGTGTGATTGAGCATAACATTTAGATGTCCGGCCTTTTGTGCAAAGGTGCGACACTGCTCCCTTTTAGGGTAAGAGATTGTCCTCCCGCCCCAGTTGCCACCTCTCCCCAGCACAGAAGCTGGAGTAGGTTGGTAACCACACTTGTCCTGTTTCTTCTTAACCCAGGGCTGCACCACCTTTGTATGACCTGTCTGGCTCCTCAGAAAACTGAGGGAACAGACCCTATACTATGGTTTCAGTTTTTATTGACCCCGTTCCGAAGAGATCAACTGCGCACTGACCTCGTTAAAGAAATACAGACTTTGGAGAAAATACAGCCTGACTTTTCTGCCTCCAACCTTTGACAGTAAAAACTTATTCTGATAATGCTGCAGGGCCTGGATGAGTCTGGGAGCAGGGACGAGGCCAAGGTCATTTCATGTCATGCAGTCTCCTTGCACTCCTTTCCCTGAGCCAGAAGGGAAGCCAGGTGGGAGCACAAGCCCCGTGCTGCCGGACAGAGAACGGGGAAATAGCTCGGTGGCTTGGGAGTGAGTACGGGAAACGAAGCCACGGTAGAGTATTCTCGCACTTGGAACCCGGCCATTACAAGATGCTTGTGCAGCCCCAGCCACCGGACACTTGATGTGGCTCCCATTGTTCTGCAGTAGAATTCAGTTTTAAGTGAAAATTTTAAGCACATCAGAGTACAATTGACCCTTAAACAACACGGAGGTTGGACCGCCGATCCCATACGCAATCAAAAATCTGCATGTAACTTTTCACTCCTCCAAAATTTAACTACAGCTGTCCCTCAGTATCCGTGGGGAAGGGGTTCCAGGACCATGCCATTCCCACATGGATACCAAAACTCGCAGATGCTCAAATCTCTTATATAAAATGATATAGATCAATGCAAACAGTCGTCCCTTCACACCTATGGTTCGTTGAATTTGCAGATGCAAATCCGGGAGTGCAGACTGTATAATTATTGAAAAATATCTGCATTTAAGAGGAACCTGCATAGTTCAAACCTGTATTGTTCCAGGGTCAACTGTGCTTTGTCTTGAAAGATCAGGTCCACAGGGATTTAAAATAGGTTAGGGTTTGCTTTAATATGCATCAGTGTTTGGGAGGAAGGAAACATTTTATTTATATTTTTTATTTTTTAAGGGAGGAGGACCTTGTCCCCCAGCAAGAGAAACAAAACTTCAAAATGTTCTTTTATATCCAGCTATTCTCTACCTAAATGAGTTATCAGATGAAGTGCACTGTTCTCAGTGTATATATGAATGTATTACCAAAGAGGACACTACTGTGGTAGAGACAGGTCATAAACTCTAACTATAAACATTCAATTCAAGGTCATTTCCAACTAACATTGCTGAATTTATGACATATAAGGCATATAAATATATGTATATTGTAGACTCACATAGACTCTGTGTGTGTATATAACAACAGTCTTCCATTGGGCACCGGCACATATATGTGTGTATATGTAAGATATATTTTATTAAGAAAATTTAAGAAAATACTTACACATAATCTTAGCTGCAGCCCTTCCTGACAGATGCTCTGAGTCCTCATTTTATAGATGAGAGACAGGCTTAGACAGGCTATGCTCCTTGCACAAGGCCATACAGCTTCCTAAGTTTGTAACCCGGATACATTCTTTCTACTGCACCACTTGGCATCTTAAGTTCAAGGTTAAAGAGGTAGAGAATGAGCTAAACTAGTCTCTTAGTTGACAATTTTTTCCTTGCACCTTACTATCAGGGAAAGAAAGGCAGTGGCACTATTCTTTGCCCCTTTAGTTGTGGAAGGAAAGGAAAGCATCTCCACTAGCAGGAACTGACCATCCCTTCCCCCATCAGCGTGATGAAGAGAGAGAGGCCTTAGAGCTAAGGAGGTCGTGTGGTCAGGGTTCCCTTCCATGCTCAGGTGGCTCAGTCATTTAATATGTGTGTCTCTGGGAGGGTTATAGCCTTGGTTGAACCAAAAGAGAACAAGGTTGAATCAGAAGAGAACCCTCAATCCTCATTTCACCACTAGCAAATGTACAGCAAGTTAGGATTGCCGTTTCCTCGTCCCGTCTCCATGCATGGTTAGAATCGCCCCGCATGGGCGAACCAGGTTTCCTCCTCCCTTCTCCCACCACTGAGTGAACTCGCATTCCCCTGGCCTTTAAATATACTTAGTGCTGTATATTTACTTCCCTTCAGGAGTTTCTGGAGAAGGATGAGGATAACTTCCTTCCTGTAAGATGGTCAGCCTTGTTCTTTTCACTTGCCCTTTAAATGTAAAGAATCCACACAGGCAAAACAGCACTAGATTGAAATTATTAGAAAAATAATATCTTTTCACTGGAAAAAAGCAAAGACCCCCTGGTCTAAGCTACTCATGCTCCAGCAGAAGACTGGGAGGCGTGACGATAATTGGCCGATCTGGCATCCTAGGCTTCTCTGTGTAGAGCCAGCCTGGAACCCCAGCCTTCTGTTTTTACTCCAGAGCTTACAGTCACTCCTCTTATTTTATGAAAGACCAGTTCTGAAACCTGGTGAGTTGTCAGGCACTTTTGTTTTAAGAAATGACACAACTATTTATGTGTATGTGTGTGTTCTAAACAAAATAGTGATAATCGAAAGCAAGTTTAAGAAAATACTTCAAATAGGCTGAACTTGCTAATAATAGTGTGACTTTGGACTTTATTACAATCAAAACAAAAATCGCTACACAAACTTTAAAAAAAAACTTTTTGCACTGTCTCCTTGGCAACAACAGTGCTGTTGACTCTTCCTGCTAACATAGCTAATCCAAATATATGTGAAATAATTCCCTTATAAAACACTATATTATTCAGTTCAACAGAAGTGGAGGAAAACACCTTCAAATTTCTACTCCCAGCCCTAAAGGCAGATACTCCTATTCTTTAAGCCTGGCGATGGTCAGAGGTTGCTGGGACATTGTCATCAAGAAAATAATAATACTAACACAATTATAGTAAACACACATATGGCATTTATGATGTATCAGGTACTGTTCCAGGTATTTTACATTAACTCATTTCATCATCACAACAGTCTTTTGAGATAAACACTTAACAGTATCCCCATTTGTAGCCAGGGAAAGTGAGGCACAGAGAAGTTAAATAATTTGCCCAAAGTTACACACAGTTAGTAAATGATGGAGCCCAAAGCAGAGAAAAAGGGTAATCCTGGGCAAATGAAAGCTTTAAAGGTCAAATTGCATTTAGGGTGTCCGATGATTACCAAGAATTTTCAGCCCAGCTGATTATAATAATTAATGTAATAATCTTTTAGGCACTTTAATTTCTCTAAGACAATTTAATATATAAACAGGAAAAATCTGGGAGGATAAAATATTCAGCAACACTAGTATTAGAAGAACTAGTGCCTCAGACTGTAAGCACCAATCATTAATATTTATCTCTCCATGCCAACCCTTGGGAAATTGACATTGCTAATCTTAGGCTTTTTTTTTTTTTTTTTTAAAGAGAGAACTAAATTACTGGCAGCAGAGATTCAAACAATAAAGTTATATAAATGTGATTTAAATCCTTTAGACCGCTTGGCAAACAGTCAAGGGGTGTTCAACATAGGTGAAGTGTTTTTACTTTTAATTAAAAGTGTAATTAAGTATATTGACTCTTTGGTCACACCACCTTAAATAAGAGACAATGAATCTTTCTTTGAAGACCTGATTTAAGTAAGCATTATTTTCTCTTCAAACAGTACCATTTGCAAATGTGGGATACACTGCCAGCTTTGCAGTTCTGCCTCTTGGCTCATAGTTTGGGCCCAAAGTTATTGTCTTCAATATCTCTTGAGGTTCTTTTCCACCAGGAGAGATTCTGGAAAACAGACTCTGTACAAGAGCCGGTTCCATCAAACTCCTTGAACACTATCTCATCCTGGAGATTTCTCTGACTTTTTTGAGGTGACAGAATTGGGGAATGGAATGGACAGTCTTTTAAGTCGGGATCTCGTTTTTATATTGGCTGTGATTTCTTTTATTTATCATCCTCTAATTAATAACCCAGCGCTTTATAAAAAACCAGCGCTTCCTTCCAGTTGCAAGCAGGAAAAAGAGAACTGCCATTTGCATTCTTTGTGAATATTTAATAGCTTTCTGTCTGAATTTGTTTTTTGTTTTCATCTTTTTAGTACAGAACTTCCACCCAGAAAAGCACCGAGTTTGTCTGTTTCTTTATGTAGGTTAACATTCTCTTCAGTTTATTCCTTAGGAGAGTCCCTTAATTCATTATGGGCTTTTGTTGTTGTTGTTGTTGTTGTTGTTTTGCCAGATCTTTCCTGAGGTGATATTATTTGTGCCTCCACAGATTTATTTGATGGATCTGAGAAAGAAAGCACACTAAACAATATCTTCTTTCCAAGCCCCTATCTCTGTCCCTCACAAACACAGATTTGAAGGTAGCATATGACAGCTCTTATCTGGAATTCTCATCCAATAATCATTCATGCAGTCATTCATTTATCAAACAGGTGGTGTGCTCATAATACAAAGGTATCTCAACACTGCAAAGTATGTCCAGTGTGGAGGAAGCAGGGATACAGGCAGAAGGACTTGGAGGGAGGTACATAGAATGTCCATCCTGTTGTCACTATTTCTAGTTCACAGTGTCACTGATCCTGATGCATCCTGGGGTGACCACAAACATAGTAGGTTACCTTTACTTCTATGTAAAACAATTTAAAAGCTTGAACATAGCTCAGGAATTTGGGATTGGGGTCAGGGGAGAGCTACCAATAATTTAGTACTTTAAAAATGTCGAAAAAGGTGAGAAACTGCTTTGACCTGGGCAGGACCAGAGAGTGGTGCATGTATGAATGTCTTCGTGTCTTGGGATCTTGAAGAGCATGCTCACCGTTGTGTTCTGTGTGGTGAGGACACCTTTCAGGCCAGCATTATATATACACACATTAAGGACCTCCTGGAAAGCTTGGGGAAGGCTCACGCCTTGAATCTGCTCCTGCAATTCCACAGTGCTTCACAGGAGGGCGACAGAGAGCACAAAACGGATTCCCTTTGCTCTTAGCAGAGTGGGGACAGTAAGCTGGGGTTGATGTGCCATGCTGCCAATAGAGTGCCTTGGAAAAGTCCTGAGCTTAACTATTTATGATGCTGGACAATTTTTGGAATTTTTAGCAAGAACATGCATGCCTAACTCATGAATCATAGCTAAAGACCACCATTAATTTCTACCAGACTGTGGACTTGCTGCCCTAATCATTGGTGTAGTATCTCTCACCAGCTCTCCCTTGACCATGTCTGTGGCATACTGTTTATCTTTGAGGAAATAGTGCCTTCCTCGAAGGAGATAATTTGCTTCTGGGTGTGAACTTAGTCCCTTAAAGTTGTTTCCAAGTCCTTGGATTGATAGCAAACATACACATACATCCTGTTCCTATTAATTGGAAAGCAAAGTTCAAAAGTGATTGTGAAACTACCAATTAAAAAGTTTGCCAAATCAAGTTTTCTTTACCATGAAAGAATCTCATTCATTTTTACAAAACGTATTGCCCTCTCCAACCCATCCAACCTTGGTTTTACTTTTCTCAGCTTATGCCTTACTTAGACAGTGTCCCCTGACATACAGTGTGCTCACTAGCAGCTTTAGTTTTTCAATGATTTCCTACCTCCCTAAACTTTCTCTGGAGTGATTTTTTTCTAATTTTTTAAGGTTCAGCTCCAGTTCTCTCATTCCAATAGCTCTTCCAGATATGAGTCCCATGGTAATGGTTTTCTACTCTGATTCCTTTTGGTCTTCTGTGTGATATTATGTATAAACTGTGCAGAAATACTTTCATGCATAGCACTACCTACCATACATTGCCTGAATTATGCATTGATGGTGATGATGCCTTTGAACCTGATTGTGCCTAGTAAAGGGCTAGACTTACTTTGTGATATGTTGATCGCTACGTTGGCTGATAAAACCTTTTTTTTTCCCCCTAGCATTTCAGAAAATATAAATTTGCTTTTCTTTGGATTGTCTTTTTATTTGTGGGTTCATCTCTTTTGTTTGGCAGGTCAAAAAAATTCCAGTCATTTATTGAGAGCTGTTTGGTAAAGAATCACAGCCAACGACCAGCAACAGAGCAACTGATGAAGCATCCGTTTATACGAGACCAACCTAATGAACGACAGGTCCGCATTCAACTCAAGGACCATATCGATAGAACAAAGAAGAAGCGAGGCGAGAAAGGTTAGAAGCACATTTGTATTTCAATGAGGGAAACAAAAGATGGAGTGAGTCCTGGGCCCTCGATGTATTCAGAGGTGACCGTGGGGATTTCAAATGGACCTACATTATTCTTTGGTGTGTGAGGGGCTGCCTCTGAGATCACAGCCTGTGGGCATCAGTGGAGTGAGACATGAAATAGAATCTTTCATGAAAGAATCAAACTGTAAGAAATAGTACTTTTTCCAGGCACTGAACAAAAGGTCATGTTGAGTGATCCTATGAAGTGATTTAATATGATTAGTGATTTTCTTAATTCAAATGAATATTCATGTTTCAAAGACTAAAAATTCACAAAAGACAGACACCTAAAAAAAACTTAGTTGACATTTTTCTGTACTGGCAGTTCTTGTGCTCTGAGGCTCATTTTTAATTTAGTTATTTGAAAGTCAGAATGAATGTTCTTATAGCCCCAGTGATATAAAAGAGGTTACGGGGCTTTTTACTTTTTGAGCTGCGAGATCATTTAATGCACTTTTTTGTTTGTAGATTCAAAAACTTTTTTAGCTTTTATGGCTCTGGCTGTTATACCACACTGTCTTTTCACTGCATTGTTGGAAAGGACTTAAGTCCAACTCGGGGTCCTAGGACTATTTGAATAGAGACTCAAAATTCCTTAACTAGCATCCTGACCAAGGTAGATGCTCATGCGGTTTGGATCAGGTTTTATGACTAGTCAGGCAAGGAGGTACGGAAGGTTGAAGTGTGGGCAGAAAAGGGAGAGATATAAAGGATAGACAGGTGAGTGTTCCCTGGGTGGGAGTAGGTGCGGGCAGCTGGCAGGGGGATGGCACTGAGGAGGCAGTATAGGGCTGGCAAGGTGAGCATTGAGTGTTTGGGAAGTAAAGAGAAGAGAGGAAGGCCAGGGCCGGAGGATGGGAGGTACTTGGCGATGTGCTTTTCCTCGCTTCTATCCTCCCCGGCTTTATCTTCAGTTCTTCACAATCCAGAGGGACTAGTGGAAGGTGGTGGGCAGCACAAGACAGGGGTGCTCTCTTTTTATCTGAATTTTCTTTCTTTTTTGCCTCTGCAGTTAATATCTACAATGTGGCGAGGTATGAGCAGGAACCTAGGAGTGGGGCGGTGAGCAGTGTAGGAGTCAGGACTGGGCAGAGGAAAGATCAGCAGAGGGCTAAGGGAGGAAGAGAAATCCAGGGAAGAGAAATTCAAGGGAAGTGTTCCTTCTTTGCAGCCATCCTTGGGGACTCGGGAAAATGTTCGATTAGGTTAGACTCAGAAGCTGGAGGTTATGAGGCACAACCGAAAAGGAGTCCCGTCTCTCATTGTTAGTGGCGGAGAGGGATGAGGTATCAATCAGAACCCAAGGAGCTGGGAGGGCAGCCCAAGCTGGAGGAAGTAGGCATGAGGAGAAATAGGTAAGTCAAGGTCAAAAAGTTCTAGGACTGATTATTCAACTGCTATGTATTAATAGTGATCTGGGGCCACTTCGTGAAGTCAAAATTTTAAAGGGAATATTTTAGGGTGATGTGTCAGACATGTAACCATTAAAGGCCAACTTCTTTGAAAAGGAAATTCATTTTACTATCAATATATAAAGCAGATTAAGTGCTAAACTCTTGTTTTTAGACTCAAATTCTGAGTTCAAATTCTAGCTCTATCTCTTAATAATTATGTGAACTTTACCCCAGTTTTCTAATCCTTAATATAGGACTGGGCGTAAAATAATAATTACTGTTGCCTGGTATTGTTGCAAAGATTAAAAGAGAATGCATGTAAAATGCTTGATACAATGTCTGGCATATAGACCTACTCAATAAATATTGGCTATTCTTATTTAGACAATTCTTTATTGACCAATAATTTTCAGTACTATTCAGGGTTAGTTGCTGAGAACAAAGTTTGTGCCTTGGGTTGTTTTCACATTTCGTTAGCACAAGCTCTTGAATGTGAATAAGAGCTCACCATTTCATGAAGACAGACTATTTTTAATGTGTTTTTCAAGTAGAAGAGTAGGATTCTTGGTAGTAGGTATATTCAAGCATTACATGGTAATTTCAGGAACCTAATTCTGTTTAGGCTTAGAGCCACCAGAAGCCCTCATTTTGGTCTGCTCCCCAAGAAAGTATCGGCCAAGTAAGATTTCATTCCATTTGCTCAGTTTGATCAAATTACTGAATTCGCTCCCTCTTACTTTTTGACTCTCTTAAGACCAGCTTTGGTGGAATCAAACAATTCTAATGTGCGTTGCTTTATGATTTTTTTTACCTGATATTATTTTTTCGTTAAGATGTGTTGACGCATGCTAATTTAAGCCAGTAATATAAAAGCAATCAAGCCAGATTCTGGAGAAGTATTACAATTGTGGAGCTTGATAATTGAAGGTTTTACCCTAGAGATGAAAAATAATTGGATTAATTGGGTGCTTTTTTTCCTTGCTATTATTTCCTTTAATAGATAAAATTTCTGCATTTTACTTTGAACTCTGTTGATTCACTTCAGGGAAGTTCGGAATATTAAACTTTTAACATAGAACATTGAAACAGTTTATGAAAGTTCTTTATATTACATAAATAGCCTGAAAATTTCATACATATCTAAGTATATGAAGCTGATTTGTGATTTTAAAAAATACACTTCAAGTCATTACACTTTTTGTTTCTTTTTATTATGTCTTTAATGGCTAAATAGTGTGGAGGGCAAAGTGTGTTCAAGTTTATGATCAAATTCAACAGTTATGTGACTACTGTCCCTGGTGGTAGCATAACAAAATTGCAGTTTCAATTTCTTTTAGGGTTGCACAAATATCTTCAAAATTGTAATTACTAACCCACAGCTATGAAAGGCTAACAGTAATGTGACACTCTCCCTTGTTTAAAATCAAAAGCTCTTCCAAAGTCTCCTCACTGCCCACGGAAAAGTTCTCAGCATGGTATATATACATATGGATCAGCAAGCCCTATCAGACCTTCCGGCCTTTTTCAGTCCATCCGCTTTTCTCACACCCACTCACGACTCACTGTTTCCTAAATGTGCCATGCACTGTAATATTGTCAGCCGCTGTCAGCTGGTTTTGGTGCTTATATGCCCTTTTTTCCACTACTTTCAGCGCTGTCTGTCTGGAAGAAGGCCACTGATCTTCCAAGACCCAGCTCATTTCCTCCTCAAAGATTTCCCTGTCTTCCTTCCCCATATGACTAGTGGACCCAGCTGCTCCCTTCTCTGATATCTCAGTGCTCTTCCTATGCACCTCTATTTACCATATAATATGTTGGAAAGAACACTTTATTTTAAAGTTGGAAAAGATTTATATTGAATTCTAAATCTAAATCCCAGATTTATTAATGAGACGACACTGGTCATATCACTTAACCTCTTGTAAGCTCAGTATCGTCACTTGAAAAATGGGTATTATGTTAAAAGGTTGTTATGAGAAATAAATGAGAGATCATGAGTAAAGTAACTAGCATGGCGACTAGTTTCTAGTAGCATGGGAGATGCCCAACAAAGATTAGTTCCCTTTCTTCATAATCTTGGAGACTCTGATTATTTACTTGTCCATCTTGCCCATTAGATTCTGATGTCCTCCAAAGCAAAGACTCAGTCTTGTTTATTATTGCATATTAACTTGCTTAAGATATTTTTTATTTAAATGAAACTCCTCAGTGAGTCCATCAAAACACATTCAACTATTTTTAATAGCACATATTGTCAAACGTTTCTTTCTGATATTTGTCAAGATATCTAAAGGCAATTGGTGAGTTCATGTAAGTAATAACAAAATTCCTGCTTAAAAATTATTAATACTGTCAATAAGTTAACAGTGGGCCAATAAAAAATTTCTTTAGGTAGTCCTATAGTGGGAGTTAACACAAACTGAAAGGTGATTTTTCAGTTCCTTAGCTACACTTTCATATGAACACCAGGCACTAAGGACAAATATCTTGAGTTAGTCTTGGGACTATCTTGGATGTGAGTAGTGCCATGTACTTGAATCCTGCTGGTGGGAACTGTGGGAGCCCAAGTCTGGAGGCCTGAAGCCTGTCCCAGTTCAGGGCTAACAACATATAGAACAAGGGGGTTGGGCTTTATGGAGCTGTAGCATCTGTTTGTGCACTAACCTTCTGTGAGTCTCTCTTTAGATGAGACAGAATATGAGTACAGTGGAAGTGAGGAAGAAGAGGAGGAGAATGACTCAGGAGAGCCCAGGTACGAGAGCAAAAGCCAAGTCTTCTCGTTTTCACATTTTGAATTGTAATTGTGTGAAATTCACTTCCTGTTGATTTATAGGTTCATTTTTAAGAATCTGGCATGGTGATCTTTTTTTAATTTATTGCCCACAACATACTCATTAATTGGAGAAAATTTCCCTAGGCAGACTCTTTAAAAAAATGTAGAAATCAGCATATTCTTTATCTTGTCTTCTAAGATTTATTGTCTCTATTCTAAGACCTTATTTTCTCACATACGGAATGTGTAGAATGGGCGAGAGGCAATTGTCTGGATAATACAGGACTAAAAGAACCTAAAACAACAACTTTCTGGAGACCTAAGTGGTATTTTTAGATTTGAGTTATTCAGTTCATAACTTCGAGAAGCCCATTCTGGCAACCACTGTCCCTGTCACACGCTTTGGTATTTTCACTGCAGCCTAATCAAAGAGGAAATGATTTCCAGGAAATCAAATTACACTCTAGATAGAAACTTTCATGCCCCTTCCTGTTGTCACATGTTGGACCCCAGAATCAAGTGCTGCTTTATTGTTATCATCCCTACATTTTGGGTTTCACTTGACTTTGATTCCAACTTTCTTCTAGTCTGTGTTTATAAATAATTAATGCTAGTGCCCTTACACTGCCAGGATTTCTCTTTCGTGAGAGACTTCAGCTGGTGGAGGTTTGGTTAGTCCCAGGCACAGTCACGCACATTATGTCAGATGCGCTGTATATGCAAAGTGAGATTTATTAGAGAATATACACCAGGAGAAAGTCACTGGGGTATACAGATCCCCATCCTTTAGCCATCCAAGGAGCGGATCCCAATGCTCTAGGAGAAAGAACAGTTCCCGTACTGCCGAGATGTAGCTTCCTGATCCGGGCAGGGGCCGGCCCAGCCACTGCTGCTAGCATGAGCTAGATGCGCTGTATATGCAAAGTGAGATTTATTAGAGAATATACACCAGGAGAAAGTCACTGGGGTATACAGATCCCCATCCTTTAGCCATCCAAGGAGCGGATCCCAATGCTCTAGGAGAAAGAACAGTTCCCGTACTGCCGAGATGTAGCTTCCTGATCCGGGCAGGGGCCGGCCCAGCCACTGCTGCTAGCATGAGCTAATAGGTTCTTTTTTTTTTTTTTTTGGAGTTAACTCAGACCTACCAAGCTGAATTATTGCTAAACTACTAGAAGAGGACAGGACTAAGCTCACAGAGCCACCTACTTTTTTCTCTGTTCGCCTGCCACAGGAATTCTCAAGGTCAAAGATGGAGGGAGAATTCTTTCCTTCCTCTCGTATTTAACGTGTTGGCCGCCCCCAGTTTAGCTGTATAAAGATGATGACTGTCAAGTAGTGACATGGCAAATGATCCTTCCTGTGAAGCAAAGAACCAAATGCCCTGCTTTCAGAGAAATTGTACACTATTTTCCCAAAGCTCAGCCCTTCTCATCACTCTCTAGAGAAGTGAGAAGCCCCAGTTTAACTAATACTTGTTAAACTGCATGTTTGGAATCACTCGGTGTGCTGACCTAGCCGTGCCTAAACACTTCTGTAATTGTAATATATCATTATAGCACATTGAAGATTATATTCCAAGTTCTGTTTTATGGACACATCTAATTAATCTTCATGAAATCCTGAAAAGTTGAAAGGGAAGTGTTTATCTCATTTTAGAACTGAGGTAACAGTCCAAGGGTAGCAACTCGGTCGTATACCAAGTTAATGATTGAGTCAGCAATACAGCTCACGTTGCCTGACATTGATTCAGCATCAATTAATATTAGTGGAGCATCCGTGTGTGCACGTGAGGTTCCCTAAGCCCAACTGCCTTTCACAAGCATATGGTCTGTGTAGACAAATGCTACCATTTGGAATTTGTTTTAGAATTTTACATAAAAGCTATAAGTTTTAGAGGAGGTTTGTTAGTAAAATCCAAGCATTGTTTATGCAACAGGACCAAGGACATCATTTTATGGCAGTATCTCACATAGTACCCTAACCACTCTCCAAAACAGAATGGTCGCCTCATCAGCTGTCACCAAGCCTGCTCCTCCCCCAGCATTCTCTGTCCCAGTTCTCATGACCACCATTGCCCAGGCACCAAGACAAAACCTACAAGTCATTCTTCACACATTAGATCCACCAACGGGTTTTATTAACTTTATCCCCAAATGATTCCCCCAGCCTCCATCCCCTCCACTCTTAACCTTGGTTAAAGTCTCCACCCCAGAACCACTGCAGAAGCCCCTCAACTGGCAGTCTTGCTTGCCCTCATACCCACTGCAGACATCGTCCATTCAGCAGCCAAACAAACCAAATCATGTTATTCTCCTGCCTAACATTTCCATGTGTGGCTTCCGGGGTCACACACTGTACCCGGACTGCCCTGTCTCCTGTGTACCTCTCCTTCTCATTCACTCTTCTCTGGAAAGACCAGCTGGGGTTTAGTTCCTTGAGTAGGCCACACTGTTCCCACCCCAGGACTCTAACAGTTAACCCTTAACATGATTTTGAACTGTGTGAGTCTGTGGATGCAGAGGGTCGACTATATGCATCGATCTACACCACTTTATATAGGGGACTTGAGCATCCTTGGATTTTGGTATCCACAGCGAGTAGCAAGGAGTGTCCTAGAACCAAACCCTCATAGATACCAAGAGATAACTAAGTTTTCAGGGAGTCAGAAGTTATACACAGATATTCTACTGTGCAGGGGCTTAGCAGCCCTAACCCCCGCATTGTTGAAGGGTCAACTGTACTTGCTTTTCCTTCTACCTGAAGTGTCTTCTCCCTACCTGTTCTGATGACTGACTCCATCACTTGAATCGTAGCTCAGCTGTCACCTTCTCAGAGAGGTCTTCTCTGATCACCCCATCCAAAGCAGAACCAGTAATCCTCACCCCAGCACCCTGCCACTGTCACTTGTAAACTATTACATTTTATTTTCTATGGAACATATTTATACCTGAAATTATGTTATTTGTAATTATTTGTCTGTCTGCCCACAAGAAGATAACTCTAGGGAGAGAATTTGGTTAGCTCCTGATGTATCCACTAGAGCCTATTATAAGCCTGCTACATAGCAGGTGCTCAATGATTATTTAATTGATTTATTTCAAGCGGGAGCTGCCAGAAAGATTAAAAGGGCTAGGTCTGTATAAACAAATAAGAACCATTTCTGCCTGCCTGTTAGGCTGTTGTGTCTGTGACTTTGAGTTATTCACATGCAGTTAGATGGTGAGTAGGGCAGCCCTCTACCACCAAAGTAGTTAGAGGAGTTCTCTGTGTCACACAGGTACATACATGCACATACATAATCACCATGTTACAGACAGGAAACTGAGGTGCTTAAAGGGAATCTAGGAATCAGTGAGCCAGGTTGAAGTCCCAGGTGCACCCTCTACGGCCAGAACTGAATCATCTAACTGCATTTTGACAGTGGTGCAGCGAGACAGGTCCTGAATTCTCAGACTTGGCAGACTTAGGTTCATGTCCTGGCTCTGTCAACCTTGGCTCAGGCACTTTCTCTCCTTGGCTCATCATGTCTTCACATGAGCAGTCTGCCCTTTGCCTCCTGGGGTTTGGTGACAGGAGTCAGTGTGGGTGAGGTTGATCTGTACTCTTCCGAGTAGGCTTCCTCATTGCTCTCAATTAATTTTTATTTGCTGGCTTTGTTCCTGCCTTTCTTAAACATGAAAATAAGCTGGTTTGGGCTCAAAGTTTGCACCCTCATTAAAGACTATACAAATATATTTTTGCCATGTCACAAGGGTGAGGGAGCGGTATGGTCGTGGGGAAAGGTGATGACTCTAGGAATGTGACATCTCTCTAGGGATGGTGATAGCATGTGTATGCAATAGTCAATACTGAAAGGGAGTCAAGACTCATCTCTCACGTTGACTCTGTTTCTTTTGGGGAGTGAGAAGTATAATTAATGGAGGACCTAAGGGCCGGTTCTTGAGCATGTGGCTTCTTTTGCCACATACGGGCAAGTTTTGTGCCTTGATCAACTCCCCCAAGACCCATGGTAGCGATTGCCTTTGCCCCATGCGGAATTCTGATCTCTCTCTCCTGCCCACAGCTCCATTCTGAACCTGCCAGGGGAGTCAACGCTGCGGCGGGACTTCCTGAGGCTGCAGCTGGCCAACAAGGAGCGGTCGGAGGCCCTGCGGCGGCAGCAGCTGGAACAGCAGCAGAGAGAGAACGAGGAACACAAGCGGCAGCTGCTGGCTGAGCGCCAGAAGCGCATAGAGGAGCAGAAGGAGCAGCGGCGGCGCCTGGAGGAGGTGAGGACCTCCCAGGGCACCCTCTGTGCCGCACGTGTCCTGGCTGGGGTCACTCCCTGGTATCCACCGTGGTATCCCAGCCCTGACATCAGGGCCATAGTCCGCTTGGAGCACACACATCTTAACTGCAGAGGAGGATGAGGCCAAACGCTCTTAGAAGCCAAGGACTTCCCTTGCTTGGCATTGTGTCACCTTGGTGTGGTCACTTCAGAAGAGCAGGTGAAGGCCTCAACCCTTCAAGCCTAGCTCAGCTGTCCCCTTCTCAGTGCGGCCTCCTTGACCACCTTACTTTAAAATCATACCCCCTTTCTTTAGCATGTCCTGTTGCCTTCCCCACTTTATTATTTTTACATAGCTCTTATCACCTTCACAAATATTCTGTATGCACTTTCGCATGTCTGTCTCTCCCTATTGGAATGTAAGCCCCCTGAAGACAGGGGATTGTGTCCATTTTATCCCTGATATACTTCTACATCATGTACCTCTAATGCCTAGACAGTGCCTAGCACACAGTAGATGCCTCATAAAGATTTGTGGAATGAATAAACTAAGGTAAGAGTGAATGAGACAATGATTAAGAAGTGAAATACAGGTATTAATTAGACCACAGTGAATAGGCAGATAAATGAAATGTCAAGCATAGAGAAGCAGGCCTGCTTGTATTAATACTCCTTTGTTACTCTTCTGAACACTGGGAGAGCACTTCCAAGTCCTTCCAGACACCCTCTGGTACCCAGGCCCTGTCCTCCAACTTGTGGGCAAGACTTGCCTTTTTACCTGCAGACATTGCTGTCATTTTTGTGGGAAACCATACCACCAGCCATACTTCCCTGCCTGGCTTGTCCTGGGCAAGGCTCTCACCCTCGTGGTCTTTTAGACATTTATTAAAGCCTTCCCAGAACCTTGCTCTGAGGCCTCCTTCCTCTGCCAGATAAATCAAAGCTTCTAGACAATTAGGAAACTGAGAGCCATAGCTCTTGGGGAAGTTGGATGGTGGATGAAAGGTCCGCTAACTGCACAGTAATGGAGTAGTGATTTTACAGTTCTCCCTAACTGTCTTGCTCCTCATTAACGATTTACGGCAATTCACTTGCATTGTCATGTGGCCACTGCAGTTAGAGGGTGGTAAATTGCAGACAGAGGGAGCAGCTTGCTTTTTAAATGGCGTATCCAGGTCTACCCACCCAGGTTTAAATCAGTAAGGCCTCAGTTCCATTTTGCAATAAATCCCATCAACCTCATTATGTCCCTGGAATATTCGTATGCAGACCAGCAACAATAATATTTAACAGTTGCAACTACTGTGTGCCAAGTGACTTCTGTGTGCCAAGCACCGGGTGGGGTGCTTTGCTTATATATCTAGGATCTCATTTACTATCATTATCTCTTTGTATATATTCATTATTTCTCATGCAAAATGAATATAATCTTCATTTAACAAGAGAAAACTGAGGTTCAGGGAGGGGAAGTAATTGGTTCCATATCCCAGAGCCAGTAAGTGCAAAAGCAGGAATCACACTAGTTCTCCCTGGTTCAAATGTCCACACAGGCCCTGAGATGGTAAACGTAAACATTTCATCAGAGCCTTGAACTATAATCCTCAAAACTAAACTTTGTGGGCTTCAGCAAGCAGCAGTAGGCAAGCGAAACACTTTCCAGTTGAAGTGTATAAGTCTGAAATATTGTCTGTGTGAAAAATGCTCAGCACGCGAGAAGTCTGAGGCTCACCATCTTTAGTCTAGAACTTACGCTGCAGTTGACAGAGGCTCTATAGTGCTGTGGGGCAGAGACCTTCAGAGGAGCAGGCAGAGGCAGGGGTAAGGGATGTGTGGGTGTCATCAGGCAGCGCTCAGAAGTGAAGTATAAAGTATTAGCAATGGAGGTGCCTGTGCCTTTGGTTACTCTACAGGGCACATATCGAAATTCTCAGAAAGGTGCCCCGGTTTCATCTCCTTCAGCTCACACAGGCCGGTTTTGGCCTCTCTTACTGGCCTCTAGACCAGAGTCACACCGTTTCCTCTAGTCTGTCAGGTCTCTGCGGGACCAAGGGCCTCTGCTGTTTGGATCCAAGGTTTGTTCCCTGATTCTTCTGGTCAGACCCCTCTCCCTAGCTAGGCAGTGCCCTCTCAGACTCTGCCCCAAAGCCTGCCTTTTTTGCTTCTTTCTTGGCTTGTGGTTTATTCCTTTCTCTTTTTAAAATGTTAATATAAGAACTCTTGGCCTTTGGACCTAGATCCTCAATTGGCGTAAAGTCTTTTCAGAGGCTGCATTGTTTTGATCGTTTTGTTTTTATTTTTTGGATTTTCATAACTGGTATGATCTATTTTAGCTTTATATGTTTTTTCGAGTTTCTAGAGTCATCATTTTTTATAGTTATAAAGCACTTACCATATGACAGGTACTCTGTTCAGCACTTTGTGTGAACTGTCTCATTTAATCTTCACAATAACCCCAGTGTAAAGATAATGCAGCTGAGCCTCAGAAGAGTTATTAACTAGCTAAAGGTCACAAAGCTTGCAAAGAAAAACCAGGTTTCAAACCCAGGGATTCTGACTTTGGAGCCCAAGTGCTGTCACTGCACCTGTCCTGCCTCTCTACTAATAAGCCATAGTCAGCATGCTTCTCCATAATCTGGTTGTTTTTTTTTTAATTTTAACTTTATTAAATTTATTGGGGTGACATTGTTTAAGAAGATTATATAAGTTTCAAGTGTAATTCATCATCTGTATATTTCACTGTGTTCACCATAATCTTTAGCTGGCCTCTCCTTTGCTGGTATTTTACCCTGAGAATTTAAGGATTCCTGAGCAAGGGCAGAGAAGCTACACCCAGCAGGTGCACACCTTTTAGCCGGGTTCTGGCTTTCATGCTCCCGGTCAGAGCTACTGCCGAGGCTTCCTCACATCTCTTCCATTGTGGCACTTTTCTGGAGTCTTTTCCTTGCGTCCAAGTTAGCATTCAAGTCAGCGTTCAGACTCTCTGGAGCACATGCATCCACAGGGACACACCCTCTAAGTTCTGGCACAGAAGGTGACTGTGTGTACAAGGACACTTTGTTCTGTGCACAGATGTCCTTGAGCC